GTGGATTGTGCGCAATTTAGATGGGAGATTGATGGTGAGACACGGCACTGGTGATAGGATGGATATTGTGCAAGGAGATTTCAGACGCCAAGTGCAAGACCTGAAGCAACATGTCCTCGAGTGCGGTGACTCGGACAATTAGTTGTATCTACGTTGAGTAGAAAAACACTGAGCAGCCAGATTCACATGTTATTAACATCATGTTACTATTTTTTAGGAAATAGTCGAATTGCCAAATCATTTGGCATGGCGTTGACTGGCACTGATACTTATCATGAATCACAACTTATCACTCGGCAGAGAAGAATATTTGATTGGTTGATTAAAAACGATTGCATTAATTAATCATTGGTATCCATAACATTCGTAAAGACTGTGAAGTAATAAGGAAATGAATAAAGAAACCCTCCTCTACTCCTTGTTCATTCCGAGAGCGTTCTTGACCTATTCCAATTGTCAATACTCGTTCATAGATCAACCAGGACTGCTGTTCTTGAGTTCTAACCTTGTCAATTGGGCCCTCGGTGTGAGCATCCTTCTCGCGACGGCCACTGTCGAAGACACTCTGAGTGGTGGACTTGTTCTCGTCAGGGTTGACAGCTCCGGCAGCGCGGTCAGCGGTGTCAGTGACTCCCTCCTTGAGCTTCTGGGCGGTAGACTTGGAGTTGTCGGGGGTCTAAAATGACGATGTTAGTAAATCTAACTTCGAAGAGGCTGTGAAGATAGAGAGGTGGGCTTACAATCTCCTCCTTAGCCTTGGTGGAGAAGTCCTTGCGGCCGAGATCAGACATGTTGAAATATTTGGTTTTGGGGTGGTTTGGTTTAAAAAAGTAGTTGTTTGTTTGGTATCTGGAGTGTGAAGATGCTTGAGTGTGATGATACTGAAAAGGAATTGCTTTCCAGCGGGGAATTGGGCAGTTTATATAGATATTTTTCTCTCCATCCTCATGGCCTACTCTGTTCTGATCTTCAGGGACACGTCCTAGCCAAAGGGTTCAAATCTACTATGACGTTATTGTATTGTCCAGTGCGAGTGACGATATGTGACATCACCTCCTTGGTAGCAACGATTTTTGTGGGGAAGGAATAAAGGTAGCCGCTTTCGGTTAGCTGATGCTAATAACCCTGGACAGGTTCCGCCTTGGCGCGCCTAATTAAGTTATGTCATTACTGCCTGTTTGGACAACAACCACAACTACTAAATTAGATACAGGGAAAGATTCAAATGCCATAGGAAATCTTGTTTTCGACCTCGCAATATGATGGATATCGACATACCGGTAGGTACGCATGCGTGCGTATGCCGATGAATACCAGCCTCCTCCACAGGAAGGATTTACGCATATCCCATGCGGCGGTGCTCTAGATCTCCCGGCCCTGCTGGATAGACAAATAATCGACGCTGCAGATAGCTGTTTCGTCCCTCGGCCTCCAGTTCATTTGAACGTGCTTGTCCAAGTGGATTTGCTTGTGATTGATGATTCACTGCTCTACAGAAGTGGGAACATACAGACCTACCTACTCTACTCGAGCAAGGAAGGAAGTTTGACAAGATTCTGCATTACATGCCCACTCGCTCATGTTAGAGGCCGAGTGAGTTCTTACTTGAACAATCCACTCTATTCTACCAATCCGGCGCTGTACCTCTACTAGACGGGGTAGTCTGACTGTCGTGTGACACCATTTGAGACGTACCTTAGAGTCCGCAAACTTGAAGAGGCAGGTAACGGGAGTGCTATCCGGACGACTTAGAAAGAATATTTCCAATCTACTCGATTGGTCTCTCCCCAGAGTCGAGACTTCTGTGACTGGAATTGTGGTTTGAATTTTCAGTCACTATCGATCATTACCCGGTCACCTCCGCCAATTACAAGCCGACAACAACATCGCAGATCTAGAGTTCTTGACTTCGGGGAGGGTAATTAGGTCTAGAATATATTCGTATGCTTCAGAATTAGTTATTATCTACTGCATCATCGGCCGGGACCCCATCCTTATCTCTTGATCGGCAGGATCTCTTCTCGGACGAGTAAGTACAACTTCGGCGTTGATGCGCTCTTGACGGGTCCACAGCCCAATCCCGGCTATCTCTCGTCCCATCCTTCCGGGTTATACCTTTGAGCCTTCACTCTTCACTAATAATATTGTCACAAACTAGTTTTCGAGCTTTACTGCAGTATTTGCTCTCTGTGTGGTGTCGAGATAGAGGCAATCTTTGATCTATATCTATCTCCTGGTTAAAAGCTGCATCTATTTATGGTATCCTTTGAGGTATCATGTTCCAAGATCATCATGCTATCTACTCGTAGTTTTTTGGCGTTTCCGGACTGGACTGGGTCTATATAACACCAAAATATGGTTTTCAAGCACGATTTACGCCCATATGCAGACCCAGTCCAGTCCGGAAACGCCAAAAAAACTACGAGTATGTGTTGGGTCCTGATAGGCGCGGGAAGTGTGTATTTGTGCATAACGTATAAAAACCATAGGTACAGGAGTTAGATATGCTTCTTACCAGCCGGTAACTAGTAAGATAAGAGCTGGATAGGTACATGTATTAAGCAGGAAATTACCACTCTCATGGATAACAAAGTTACTTCACCCCCCTAAGGGTTAGAGACGAAGACGAGATTTCTAAGTATCGATTATGTAGGAAGGGTACTGAATCAACTGTCAGCTCTTAAGCCGCTACAGCTTGTAGCGATCATTGAGCAATATAATATGCGCGCCCCAATGGATGGAGACTGATATTTAAAAGGACCTCTTCATGGATACAAGGGAGCACCTATATACGGGAAGAGAAATACTCTTGGTATCTCGAGGGAGTACCCACTTGTGGGTAGTCATATCATATACGTATGCGTGTAACTGTCTTGAGAAACACGCATATATGGCTACGCATACATGTACCCGCTATTAGGGTTGGAGACAAAGATACACGTACACTAGTAGGATAGCCCAGAAGATCAAGCTTCATCTTAGGACCCGCCCGTAGGAACATTTGGGCTTATACTTTATGAGATGAAACTGTACAAAAAATGGTGTGGATTCGATACAGTATTCTCTTTAATGCGCTAGTAATACAGTCAGAACTCGCCGGTTTGATTCCGTATTCTTCACTAAATTCTGTACCCATATAGTGGTGATTTCACCCTGTTTTTTCTTAATATACCTTTTGACAGCCCATCTCATCGGGATAAAAACCGACTTTAATTTGACGAACGGTGAAATAACCGAGCTGCACATTCCAAGTTGCCTATTACACCTCTCGCCATTTCCCATATTACAGATTGGCTTCATGGGACTCACCGCTCTTGGGATTACTGCTCACCGCTCAAGCCATTTACTTTTTTTCACTTCTTCATTCTTTTTATCCGGATCCCCCCAATCTATGTAACATCATGATATCCACATAATATGGTTAGGAATATTATCACCGTCAACAAGATCCTTTCCTCCAAGGAACCATATTCTGACCTATCATATTCATATATTTAGCTCTTGTAGTTATAATCCTACAGGAGATGAATCTATGAGATCTTGAACGTGAATTGTGATGATTTTTATCGACTGGGTCATATATATTATGCTCTCTAAGCGAGTACTATAACTAGAATTTGAAAAGGCTACATCATATACTTAACAAACCAATCAATCAAAGCTCTCCAGTCGATAGTAAATTTTAGAAGATACTAACCGGGAGATGGAGTATAAATAGTCTGACTACAATATGAGAAGCTAGCGTGGTCGTGGTTTACAACCCAGGACAGGTTGTTTAAGATAGTTGATTAGTTATTTAGGTTCTAGTAAGACTTGCCATGAACACTTTTTTCATAGCTATTATACTCCCTCAAGTAGGATGGTGATCAATATATATGGCTATTGTTATTTCTCTCGCTGCCAGATGGTCTATCTAACTACATGTATCCCTAGACCCCGGCGCGGGCCTCGCAACTAGTTTGTACTAAAGCTAAATCTGATGTAATGTCTGGATTTACCGCCAGTTGATAAAACGAGGTGTTCACATTGGTCTCTGTTTGCTGATGTTTATAATTATTGCTCAGCCAGAAAGTTGATATGATATGCCTGTACTAGATGTATTTAAGTTTACTTTCATACCGATGGTACTTGTAAGAGACTTACCACAGAGTGAAGATACATGTATCGGAAGTTACCAATGGCAGCCATATTGTAAGACTTTGGAAACGCTATCTCATGATTTCTCTATCACTTTCACCTCGTATGAACGTGCATAAAGGTATAGTTAAGTGCTAGCTGTACAATAAAATGCACCGCTTTCGTATGAGAAATTGTGTCTAGGATGTATGCATAATCCACCGGCATTTTGATTCGTTATAAAATAAAGACGAGGAGTTAGTTGATCCTATAGTACTTTGATAACATAACAGTCTCCTTTTCGTGGGTCGCAACTCAGCAAAGGACGGGATAAACCTATTATTCTTTCCCGTCAGCGTCAACGCTTACCTTATATTTATTCCGGTTCTTTCATTGCTAACATCTACTCCAAAGATTAAGAATCTCAACTGTTTATGAGGTTGACACTTCATCAATGCCAAGCTTAGTTCATAGACCATCACTCGGTGGTAGGTTATGTCGTTTGACGTCGACGGTAGGGTAACGTCTAGCTAGATGCGGCATGAAGCATAAACATACAACACGTGCACAAATCAGTATGTGGGATTGTGAGACACTGTATTCATTGTTGTGCCACATGTAAGATGTGGGGTATCTACTAGACATGCCATGCACAAGACTTTTTAAAAATCTGAAGTTGTATAGTTGCGCGGTATCATGTACCGTTTGAGAGGTATAAATTAATTAAAGCTTCAGGTTCGAATTCAGGCCTATGTGCTAGCTGCGGGTAGCCGTTATGAGCACTACAGACCAGCAACCACGAGTGAATAATAGCAAGTATGGTATATATTCCAAGTAGATTTATTTTGGCCCTTTAGTGGGTGAGCCGATAAAAGCATTCCTATTTAAAAGAAAGGGACGCTTTTCGAGCGGAGAACATTCGAGAAAGCGTGGGCGGTAAAACCAAGGTACGAGCTGATGTTAGAAACAGAGCTCCCGAGCGACTTTACGTCGTTTAACCTCCGGTCGAGAAACTTCCAGGTCTCCTCGAAATCTGGCGACGTATCCTGCGTCATAAAAAGCTCTGCGCAAGGAATACTGTTAGAATTAAAAGACTGGAAGAACATTCGGTAATACTAGATAGTCTTCGTTCTCACCAGTACTGGCGTAGACTCCGGAGAGTGTTGCTCTCTTAGTATACCAATTCATGTCGTGACTATCATCTCCGGCAAGAAACCACATCTCGTCGGACAGCTTTGCTAATTCAGAGACGGAAGCGGGTATGTTTCCTGCTAGCGACATGAGTCCCAACGCCTTTCTCAATAACAAGCCATGTTGTTAGCTTAATTAGATATTATGTCGGTCGTATAATATGAATATGGTAAATTGCCGTAGAAACGGGGAAATGCACCTCTTGCCATCGGTTTATTAACGGGGAGTTTGCTCTCAGTCGTTCCACACAGAGAACTCGAATCTTTGCTGGAGTACTGAGACGCTTTGTGCCATCTTCAAATTTACTAAAGTCGATTTTCTGACTTAATCGTAGCCGTTCGGTAACGAGGTGGTAGTTTACAAGGTCGAATACACCCCGGGGGAACAAGTTAGTTGAAATGTCGAGATATCCGACATCACGAGCACCAAGAGACAATGTCGTGGTCGAAAACCCATGTGAAGGGACATGGCGGAGAGCGGCAGCGAGTATTGATGATTCTGTTGGGGTGAATGGGGGCGCAGGTGACGGATGTTGGTGCGAGTGGTAATGGCGATGTGGTGGAAAGCAAAATATGGCCTTGGAGGCAGTGGCAAGGCCAATGGGGGATACTCTCAATGTGCTGATCATCGTGAATTATTTCTTATGCTTGGTGGTGGGGGCAGAGGTAGGTTGACTGTGTAGCGTTATCGTTATCTTTTGGTAGTTGAGGTCGGTCATCGCACCGAGCACTCTTTTCCCCACCAGCTTCGTGTTGAGCCGCACACATGTATGTACCTATCAACCACCAAGGTGATTCAAAGAGTTGACACTCCAAGCCGAATTACATAACAAATAACCAATTGCTTACGATCAGTAAGCCGGCTCTACAATTGACTTCCTAGTGAACCCTAAAAACGAATAGTGATCAAGTCGTATTCAATTGCCCCGGCAGTTGAAGTTAACCAATAGAAACGTGTAAGCTATTTAGTAAAACATGCACGAAATACAATCCGCTCACTCGTCTAATCCTCAGTGTTGCACGGAAGATATAGGGATTGTGAAGACACCGGTCTCAATCACAGGGACGAACAAAAGCATAACTGCAGAGGTCGAGAGGGTTAGAAGACGGTGTCCTTTGAGAGGCCGCCATTGATAATGTCTTTAGATGCCTGACATGGAGGGCTGATGCTTCACTTATAAATCATACAAATAGAGATAAGTAAGAGTAGTTAAGCTTGGAACTGCGCATTATGCGCCATTTCGACTTGTTTCGTCTTCGGAACCTCATAATCCAGGTTGATCGTCGACAAAGCAGCATTTTCTGTGCGTAACAGTGCATGTCATGCAGCAGGCAGCCCCTCGTTCCCCACTGATGTCGTACGATAGCCGTTGCGGATATCAGCTCTTCACATCCACTGTGAGAATGTATGTAAGTGCTCGCTTCGATTTGCCCACACTGCTTGAAGTTTCGCATATCATACCAAAAAACCCCACCTCTCCCCCATACCTATAAAATACCTTAAGCTTCTTCCTTTTATTGAAACCCGACAATTGAAGGGAGCGGTATGCGGTTCGTATACTGTTTCAATTGTCAAAACTGTCTCCGGTAGATATATATGTGTCTTCGCCGGTCCTAATATATTGCACAAAACGTCTGCCCTCGGCCCTGTTTCCGAGGACAGAATGGTTAGATTTCCATATCAAGTGATATCGGTCACTCTTCTCGTCTCGCCGGGAACGATTGGCCCGTATAGAATGTGACAGTGTGGCCTGGTCGTTGCCGCCGGAGCCTAGTAATAAGTTACGAGGAGAGTGCCGCTCACCCCTCTTGCACACTGCATTTCGAAATCTCAAAGGTTCAATCTACCTAAACCGTTAGCAAAACAGGCCCCAGTTGTGAAAATTGGCAAATTCCAACATCAGCCATTCATGTAAAGTAGAGTAATTTTTCCCGGCTGTAACCTTGTAATTTCCTCGGTTGGCTTTTTTTCGTTTGGCCGCAGCTGGCCAGTAAATCCGTAATACAGAAAGCTGGGGTGGAGGAAAAAGAAATGTGAAAGTGTAGGTACTCAAAAGACAGCTGAAAGTGATTTTTAGAGGAATATATGTAGAACCCCCACGCCTCAAGTACTCATAAACATTGTTTCATGGTTCTCTACAAGCTGGAACGTCATCAATTACCACCAGAGGTTCATGACAACCGACAACCAATGTCTACTGGGAGCACGCGTCGTCCATTTTAGTGTTGTTGACACCTGTTGTTGGTTGCTTCCAATTGATATTTGTCCCGTTGTCTCCGCCCGCCCGCGCGATAACACACACAAGACAAGGCTCCCATCTTTTTTTTACCCTCCATCTTTTTTTCCCTCTATCCGCTGCAACTGCCAAACGACCCGGAGGAGAGGTTCACGCAACCAACAACCTAGCAACCTTTCCAAAGTGACCAAAATCATCCAGCCCCCTGGTTTGTTTCTATCACACCTTTCCTACCCCAATCGCTCCAAACTTTTTTCTCATCGACAGCCAGAAAACACACTCTGCACACCGATCACACACCCCTCCCTATAAGGACTGACTTGCGAGAAACGTTACTTCTATCCCCACCTAACCTTTATATATAAAAAGGAGAGCACCTATGGGTCTGCTCCCCCTTCTTCGATTGAACCCCCCCTCGCCCAATCAAGGCCTTTGCACTCTCTAAAGTTTCCTCAGGCTAACCATACATATACTTACTCGCAGAGAGTGATTCTTACCGCCCCGGACCACTAGAAGGTGGACGAACAAGTGAATATAGACATGTACGTTACATACCGGTTTTTCTATATGCTCATCGTTTTTTTATCACACACCCCTCGCCTCTTGTGCCCCTTGCTTTAATACTGCTGCGTGTTGGTTGTATGTCTGTACATTTCCCGGTCGTTAGTTGCTGCCCCCCACTGCTGTTGCTGTTGTTACCACTGCTTGATTGCTGCACCCCTGTGTTTGCTCTCAAGTCGGCTGTTGCTATCTTTGCCCGGGGCTGCTGCTGTTGAGCAAAGTGACGGTATACAATTGTTTTGTTTTTGTTTGTTATTGTTTCCCTCTTGTTTACTCTCCCTGTTCCGTGGGATGAGTGACATTGAGTCTGGGAAAAGAAAAGAGCACAAGAGCAAAAAGAAACAAAATAATTCTGCCATTGCCGGCCGTTCTGCCCCTCGTCATTATCCCTGTGATTTTGCTGTCTCCCCCACCCGAATTACGTCCGCTGTGGGAAGGTCGCAGCCGTTCGCATCTTCCTGACTGGCGCGCCCTCCGTCTGTCTTCCCGCACCACACGCCATTCCCTTCCCCACCCCCCTAACATCTCTCTGTCCTTTTCCTGTCTGGACGTTTCTACCATTTAGGTACATCATGCTGATGGACCACCCCTCATCTGCACAAATACAGCAGCGCGATAGATCTCGTTCTCCGCGTCGTCGTTCGCCAGACCATCGTGATCGTGCAAGGTCACCTCGCAGTCCTCGCCAACGTCGTAGATCGTACTCACCTCGAAGCAGATCTCGAAGCCGGGACGATTATAGAAGGCGGCCCTCTCGTTCGCCTATGAGTGGCAGTGGACATCCAGGCGGATACACTGGTTCAGGATACGCAGGTAGTGGAGGAGTCGGTGGGCCTCGCCGAAGCTACGAAGAACGCGCCGCTGCCAAAGACGCCATGATGCAGAGTCTCCGTGACAGCTCCCAGCAAGACCGCCGCGTCTACGTCGGCAATCTTTCATACGATGTCAAATGGCATCATCTCAAAGACTTCATGCGACAAGGTGAGTCCAGTTTTTGATATCCATCAACTTAAGCCCTCCTTTTGGTCACCATTTTGAGCGATATTATCACCTTTATCAGCAAGCATGGGGTCCATTACTGGCGGTTTAGTGATTTCACCATTGAGCATCCGTCACTGTCATTTGTGCCGGGTTTTAGGTGGTTGTCATAATGCTGACTCGTGTTTTCAATACCCATAGCTGGAGAAGTACTCTTCGCAGATGTCTTGTTACTCCCGAATGGAATGTCAAAGGTGGGAACTACTGTGAACGATAGTGGATGATTTGGTTTATTTCCTTTTGTGGGCTTCTTGACGGATGTGGATTGACGGGGAAGGACACGGTCGTCCGCGGGTTATTGTAGGGATGCGGGTATGTTTTCCTCCAATATTTTTTTATATTTAAAGGACTCTCACTGATGATATTTATCAGGATTGTGGAATATGCCACAAGGGATCAAGCGCAAACTGCTGTTAACACCCTCAGCAATCAAAATTTAATGGGTAGATTAGTATACGTTCGCGAGGTAAATTCAGGCGGGTTCCCCTTGATAATAAAAACTACTCACAGCGGAACTTCGGGGACAGGATCGTGAAGCCGAACCTCGTTTTACCGGACAGCAGAGTGTCCGCCCACCTTATGGCGGTGGGCCCGGAGGACCCGGCGGACCCGGCGGACCTGGTGGTTACCCCGGCGGCGGCGGATACAACGGCCCTCCCGGAGGCGGCCCCCCTCCTGGCGGTATTCCTGGGGCTGGCGGTCGCCAGATCTACGTATCTAATGTGAGTAATGATAGATGAATGTAACCACTGGCCCCCAAGTTTCAAACTAATAAAAATAATAAGCTCCCGTATACAGTCGGCTGGCAGGACTTGAAAGACTTGTTCCGTCAATCTGGTCAGTATTCCCCCGTAAAACACTAATTTTACATTGAATTCCAGTTGCAACAATTGGGCCCTCTTGGTCATACGCTGATCCAGATTTCACAGGGCCTGTTGTTCGTGCTGATGTTCACATTGGCCCCGATGGGCGTCCCAAGGGCAGTGGAGTCGTAGCTTTTGAGACACCAGAAGATGCACGCCAAGCCATTCAACAGTTCAACACCTATGAATGGCAAGGACGTCAATTGGAGGTCAGAGAGGACCGCTTTGCTGGCTCGTCTGGTGGGTTCGTTGGAGGCCGTGGCGGATTCCCTGGTGCTCGTGGTGGCTTCGGCGGCGGCTTTGGCCGTGGTGGCTTCGGAGGCCGTGGAGGGTTCACAGGGGGCTACGGCGGAGGTCGTGGAGGCTTTGGAGGTGGTGCTGGGGGCGGTTATGGTGGAGCACCTACCGCAGGAGTGGGCGATAGTAGCTATGCTTCAGTACCTCCCAACGACTTCACGGACCATGCTACGAGCGGAGGGGAGCGCAGCCCTACTATCTACGTCCGCAATGTGAGATACCTTCCTCTATTCTCTCGCTATTTACATACACTCACCATTACATAGCTTCCTTGGTCAACTAGCAACGACGATCTGGTCGAGTTGTTCAATACCATTGGCAAGGTTGAACGCGCCGAGATCCAATACGAGCCGAATGGCCGTTCCAGAGGAACTGGTGTCGTTCAGTTCGATAGTGCAGAGAATGCCGAGACAGCAATCAGTATGATCCTCCTATCTAGCATACTCATCCTACTTTAAGACAATCTTGCTGATAAAATCTACAGCCAAGTTCTCAGGCTACCTGTATGGTGGTCGCCCCCTAGGCCTAACCTTTGTTAAGTACACCACCAACACTTATAACAACGGCGGCGGGGATGCCATGGAGGTAACTGAGCCAGCTTTGACTCAAGACCAAATCATGTAAGCGGGCACT